GGTCCATTTACCAAAAAAATTGACCGAAGTCAACTTAAATGCATTCTAAGTCAACATTTTTAATATTTCACATAACAGCTTTCCGGCTACACGCCGGGACTGCGCGCGCAAATCGAGGTGAAGATAAAAGAGAATTTTAAGGCCTCGGAAATACAAAATTAAATTTAAAATAAGTGATGACCTTTTGGGTCATCACAAGAAACAATAAAGATTGAATAAAAAAAAAACCCAGCACAAAAGAAAAGGGAAGAAAAATTTTAACTTTTTTTCACACCATCCAAATGAACACAAACATATACTTATATATAATCCAAAACGTGGACATCTGATTGTTGCAAAAAACATTACAAAATTAAGGAATCTTCCCAGTAAGAGACGTTACTAACATTAAAGGCAAAACTTTATAAACATTAATTTTCTTACAGCCATAATGATAGCAATTTAAGGTTAGTAAATTGTTATATTCAAATATTTAGTTATATATATTAAAATATATTCAATTGATTGGTATAATAAAGATCTATTAAAATAATATTAAAAGAATACACCAAGACATTAATTTGATTTTTTTTTTTTGAGTTATCAAATTATTTTTCCAACAATCCCCCACATAACTCAAAAAAGAATATGAAGTAATAGAGTAAAATAAAAAATTCAGCTGGGTTTTCACAAATGAGCATAATGTGTCGAATCTGGTGTCTCTTGGACTATGAACCAGACCTAGATAAAATAATATTAAACTTACAGAAAAATTTGTGAAGTTTAAAACTTCTATGAACCAATAATTCTTTTTAAGTTTAGTGTCTTATCTATCACATTATTCCCCCACACACTTTGTTGTTTATCGCGGTTTTGCGCTAATAGGCCATGCACGCGTCTGGTTTTCATGAGTGCTCTAGAAATTTCGCTACAAATTTCATAGGAGCGACCCCACTCCACACTCATATAGGTCCATCCATCAAGCGTATTCTGCAGCACAATACACCACCTATAAAAGGCTATGGATTAGTGGATTAAGAGTTTAATAACTCAGCCTCACATTCCTTGCAGTCTTGCATTATATACACACACACACCATAGGAAGAGATATAATTTGATAGTGCATATTTGATCAACTAATGACTTATTATTACCCATATGAATATACTTTATGGGATCTCCAATCACATAGGTTGGGTTACCATCATTGTTGATACATCTCAAATTGGCAAAAGTCTCAACCCCTTGATGTTTCATTTATAAGTCAAAGGATCGGCCAAATCCTCTTTTGACTACACATAATATGTATAAAAAATTCTCATATCTAAGCAATTGCTTTATGACATTATATCTTAAAAAAATGTATCTACTTTTCCCATTGAAAGATTTATTTTCTTACAATGGCTATTGCACCTTGGCAATCCCAATTCATCGACACAAATGTTGTTGGTTTAATTCATAGTGGAATACACGCCAATAGGTTGCTTAATCAGCTTCATTGCCAGGCAATTTTAATATCATAACACCCACCAAAGGTGATCACACAACAACTAGCTAGTTTTTTCTCATCTGTATTAGAGATTTAGTATCATCACTGTATCTTTCTAATATAGTGGAAAATCCACATACAAAATACTAACTTATAGTATTTCTCAAATAAAGCAAAAAATCATCTCAAATGAAATAAAACTTGACTTCTGTACAAGTGCCTTTTGAAACATCTTCAAACACATAAGAATTTAGTTTCTTTTTGTATCTTCCGTAGTCAAGTACCAAAGAAAATTTTCTAAATACAGAAGCAACTTTAATTACAGAAATATCTCAAATCAGTAGGAAACGGGTCATAATTCAACGATTTTCTTCACCCAAATGACTAAGAGACCCAAAGCACCATAACTTTTCGAAGTCAGAAATACAACAAATTTTTGATCTTCCAATACAAAGTTTTGCCACAAAAAATCTCATTTTTGTAAGGCTTCAATGTTATAATTTTAATAAACAGTTTTTCTATTTTTTTTCCTCTTCTTAGGATCAAGCTAGATAGCTCAGGACACCATGGTCCCCCATATTTTTAAAAATTTCAAGTTAAGGAGATAGCATTTTCACAACTCATAAAGAGTTCCACCAATTTATAAATAACAAACTAATAATATAGCTTTACCCAATAAGTCACAAGAATACGAAACACGAAGGTCTTATCTTATCTATTATTTCTATCATACTAATACGGAGGAGATTTATAAAATTAACACATTAATCATCATCTTCCCTTCCATCAAAAAGATCTGTCAAATTCTATTTGACATGAATGATTATCATGTATAGTCAGAAATATCTCAAATTTATTGAAATTGAAATATAAATTTAAACCCACTATCTTAGAGCTTTCAAGATTTTCAAAAATAGATAACAATAAAAGTCTACTTTTTTGTAGGCTTAGGCGCATTTAAATACTATAAAAAGCGTACCTTAATTTTGTGGTGCAATTTACCTTCCATAACGCGATAATGCACAAAATTGAAATAGCAACTTGATTAACATTTCGTTGCTCACAAAAATAATTTCAATAAAGAGTGGTATTCTCTATAAGACCATTGTGCAAACTTGAAGTGTAGGTTCCATTTTCAGAATTAGAACAATAACTTGGACAACATCAAATTTGATTCTCCATAATAAAAAAAAATGTGGAAATATCCTTAAGAATGTTGAAATTTTTTGATGATTATGGAGAATATGATTTAGCTTGAGGCGTGTCAAAGACACTGTCCTTAAGGATATTTTGCCCACACCGTAATAAATAAAATTAGGCGTATCCCCCAGGATTCAACAAGCTCTTCTAGTATAACTAGGAGCAGAAACAACAAAGATTGAATAAAAGAAAACCCAACACAAAAGAAAAGGGAAGAAACGTTTTAACTTTCTTTCACACCATCCAAATGAACACAAACATATACTTATATACAAAAAATGTGGACATCTGATTGTTGCCAAAAATGTTACAAAATTAAGGAATCTTCCCAGTAAGAGACGTTACTAACATTAAAGGCAAAACGTTATAAACATCAAGTTTCTTACAGCCATAATGATAGCAATTTAAGGTTAGTAAATTGTTATATTCAAAGCTATTCAAATATTCAGTTATATATATTAATATATATTCAATTGATTGGTATAATAAAGATCTATTAAAATAATATTAAAAGAATGAACCAAGACATTAATTTGATTTTTTTTTTGAGTTATCAAATTATTTTTCCAACAGCCCCCACCTATCCTCCCCCACCCCACCCCACCCCAACTCCACCCTCCCTATCCCCATCCCCAACCCCACCCTAAATAGAGTATTTTTTTTCATTTCAACAAATGAGTATTTTATTTCACAATATAATTTTTTATCTCATTTTAACAAAAAAGTACTTTCTTTTCATGATGTAGAAAATATATTGTCACGCCCCAAACCTGGGGAGGCGTGGCTGGCACCCGGTGCCGTGCTAGCCCGAGCGAACCACTCTGCAACTCTTTTTTTTGTTTTATTTTTACAACTATCATGGGCCAACATGGCCACAACTCGTAATATGTACAACTGTAAGTGGGAAAACCCTGTATCAATGAACCGTCTTCCTTAAATCATGAATACATATGGGCCGTCAAGGCCTCTGATATACTATACAAAATGAACCTCTGTCTACAAAGCCTCTAAGAGTATTTGACATCAAATGGGACAGGATACCGGCCTACCCATAAGTCTTTAGCAAAATTCTGACACGATGACTCATAGACTCGGGTGCACTCCGAATGAGGTGGAGTCTTACCGATCCTTCGTTGAATACCAATCTCGTCTACTATGAGGGCTCGTCAAACTGATTAGCTATACCTGCAGGCATGAATGCAGCGTCCCCAACAAAAGGACGTCAGTACGAATAATGTACTGAGTATGTTAGGCGAAACTGAAACATAACAATAATTCAACATTAATTAAAGACATATAAGAATCAACCTGAATCTCTGAAGTGCCACCGTATATGCACACTTATTATACTTACATATATATAATGCTTCAATTTTAAAACTATTATCCATATGTATGATGCATGACTGCCCAACTGATCAGTGGTAACTGCCCGACCGGACGTAGCGCGGTGGTAAATGCATGACTGCCCAATCAGCCGTAGCTCGGTGGTAAATTTGTAACTGCCCAACCGGCCGTAGCTCGATGGTAAATGCATGACTGCTCGACCGGCCGTAGCACGGTGGTAAATGAATATGCATGACTGCCCAACCGGTGGTAAATAATGATACATAACTGCCCAATCGGTGGTAACTGCCCGACCGGCTGTAGCACGGTGGTAAATGCATGAAGATGCATGTACATGTATCACTATATTATTAATATTAACATCTTTATCATATGGCTCAATAGGGAACTAGAAACATACTTGAATATCATTTTACAGGAAGAATAACGTAGACATCTTTAACTGCTAAGAGTAGAAACACTTATGAAATAGCATTACGTTTACGTATCGTTACTTGCATCATGCCAAAAGAAAGAAGGATTAACCTTAACATAACTGGATTAGGGAAAAATTTGTATAAAATTGCAAATCTATATATGCAAATCTTTAGTATGATTCATGCGTACAATTGTTGGCTGCCCTTGAAGACAAACAGCGAAATTAACATCACCAAATATTGGATGAAATCAACCATTATTTCTCGAAAATAACAGCTCCTCCATTTACACCATTATAATGTTTATCTCAGTATAATCACATAGAAGGATTGCACGAAGAAAATAAGAAAACCAAGAACTAAAGAATTGTTATCTAATTTCACACTTTTCAATGTTTAAGCAAAATTAAAGGCAATCCATCTTCCAAACTCATGTCTTTTTTTTAACTTTTTAACTATATAATAAGTAAAGGTTCTTCGTCGTCCTGATGGATTTTACGTAAATAGAATCTAAAGTAAGGGCAAATAACACTTCGTTCTTCATTTCTTTTCCACGTATTAAATTATGGTCTTTTCTTCACATTTAGTTGCCTTATTTTCTTTCTTCTTCACCTTCTCTCTGCTAGCTCGCTCTTTCTCTCTTCGACCTCTTCCATTTTTAGTATTTTCTACTGGATTTCGACCTCTTCCCTTTACCAATTCTTTTTTGGTGTTATCGATTACTTCTCGTTACGGAGAAATTGAGAAATGGCTGATTCCTTTATTTGGCTATGGACGCAATCAGACCAGTATCTTGGCTTGGCAAACTTTAGATGGTATGTGATTTGAGGCTTTTCTATCACATGCAACAAGTTCTTTTGCAGTCATTATGTGGTATCCTTCTCTTTGCCCCTTTAGGAACACAGACTGAGCCTCGATATTGCAATTGGTCCTTGTGAACGTTGTTTGGTCGAAATCCATTTTTATTTTTTATGAATTCAGGCATTGATGGAAAATAAACATTACTTATTTATTTATTTTATTATTCAATTTTGTCGGTAAATCCATTATAGATTTCCTCGGGTATGGAGGTTTTGCATCCAGATTGCTAATTAAAATGTGGGTCTACTTGTTTACATCTTTACCCTGTTCATATTTTGTGATTTTTAGATTTTCAATACATGATATTATCATATTTAATTGGAATATAATGGTCTCCAAATTTTTATTTTACAGGTGAAAATTGCTCAAGTTGGGGAAGAGGGACACCGCGTCGACTGTAAGAGATTCTAAGCTTAGTTATATTGTTAAATGTTCAAGCATACTGTATAGATGCGTGTACTTTAAGAATAAATTAAATGTTAAAATTACAAAATTTAGACCTTACCATAGAAACTTTATGAAACGCTTGAAAAACAGACACCTAACAATAACAAGAATATAGGCGAAGCACAAATATAGCCGGGGGAATATTCATATCTAGGTGCCAAAGATAGTGAAAAAAAAAAACCTTAGGCGATGTATTGTATACAGAAAAAAGGAACCTGAATGAAAGACAACACTTTTAGAACAATGTTAGGTAGAATGTGTGCGAGATCTATCTGAAAATTCTACTGCCTAACTATTCAGATCGATACATTCTTCCTTTGAACCTAACGTCATGATTCCAGACTTTATTAAGGACAAACCTTCTTCTTCTTCGGGGACAAGCCTTCTAACACATTACTGAAGATCCCTGGTAAATGAGACTAGCTCTGTTTTTCGAATAGTTTTGTTGTTCTTTTCTACATGCATGTGTTTATCATTTGGGTATTAGGTGAATTGGGTAACCAACACAATTTCTCTGCACCAAGATGTTTGATTTTATGACCGAAACCGTTGGATAACTATTTTTAGTTTTTTACTATTCCTTGTTTGACAGGTGTTGTACAACAGATGATTTCTCAATTTCTTTTACTCTTTCTGGTCATTACTCAATCTAGGTGTGAGCTCATTGAGATGGTGAGTTTCCTGCAATCTTTCTTTGTCTTTTGCACTCTCTCTTGGTAAAGATCAAAATTTGGATCTTCACTCCTTCAAAGTTTATCCATCTTCCTTCTATTTGAATCTGATGTATGCTTTCTGGTTTAGCGAGTTATTTGTGAAATTTTTTTATCGCACTTGTTCTGTTGGTAATCACAATCTGATAAGTACATTATTTTGAATAATCTCGTGCTAGAACTTTTATATGTATGCCAGTAATTGTGCATGCTTTACACATGTATTTTTTTTTTCTTGTTGAATTTTATCTTTTTGCTAACAACTAATCAGTTCATTATCAAACCGTCTTACTGAAAATCCAATTCACCAGTTTGTGCTTCAACATCTTATGGTGGAAAGGATCAAAATTTGAATTGGTAGTATAAGGATTCGTAATTTCCCGTTTTTACTAAATAATAGCTTACTCTTTTGCTCAATTGTCCATTAAATGAGATGGATAGTGTGAGCACGTAATTTTTGCCCTAAGCAAATTAATTCCAAAAGTTTCAAATAATTGATTTCTTTATTATTTTACAATTTTTGTGAATTTTTGTGTGAATTTTGGTGTTAATTGGTTGCATTTTAATACGAAAATACAGGAAAATACGCACATGCATTTAGGGATTTTTATTTTTACAAATTTAGTATTAATTAGGTATTAATTAGATTTAGAATAAAGTTTAAAGAAAACTTGCAAAAAATAGGCTGTTGCGCTCTTAATTGTTAATTGTTGCGTTTTATTTCTAAATAGAGTTTTTTAAGTAATTTTAGGAAGTTTAAATAGCTTAATTGAGTCTTTGTTTTGTTCTAGCATTTTTATAAAACCAGAAAAAATAAATAAATACTAAAATACCAAAATAAATAAATAAATAAATAGAATACAAAAGCAAGAAAACAAAATCAAAAAAAAGGAATTTGGGCTAAATTCACCCCAGCCCAAATCAAAGCCCAAAATTTGCACACTTGAAACCTGTCCAAAACTAGCCCAACTGCCCGGTCCAAAAGCTCTTAAAACGACGTAGTATAGGGGAGAAACTACGTCGTTTTGAAATAATGTTAGACCAATTAATCGTGGCCCTCCGTTCCCCATCATCTAACGGTCCTCATTAGTCCAAGGGGTTTAATAAAAGTGTCCGAAAAATTGTATGAACTCAAGAACACTTATCATCTTCCTCGTACAACTGTAACACCACCACCGTACCCCACCGTACCTCACCGTACCCCGCCGTATCTCCACCCTCTTGCCACCGTCCGCCCGGCCGGAAATACCGCCGGCGGCGGCGAAGCTCCAAATCACTCAAAAATTACACCCCTCAATCCTCTCATCCTCCTCTTTCCAACCCCCAACCTAGTTTCCCTCAAATCGTAACCAAAATGCTCGAATATTAGATCAAAATTTCCGGCCAGGATACCACCTTTACCAAACCCCACCAAATTTACACCATAAGACCACCACGGCCTCCTCTATCAAACCCCCAAGGCCCTGATCCTCAAAAATGGCCGGAACTTCTCGAATATGGATTCAAAGTTTCCGGCCAAAACCCTAATTGCCCCAAACCTCTCCAAATTAATACTACGCGATCCTTTCGTCTTCCTCATGAGGAATTCAGTGTCAGTGGTGGTCGAATGTCACCGGATTGGTTCAAACGTCAGATCGGAGAGTGGTAGAGTCTCGAGCGTCAGTTAAGTTTGGTTCTCCTTTCTTTATTTTGTTTAGTTTGTTTCTTGTTCTCATACTTGTTAAACCTCTACTCCGATACGCATTTAATTTCCGTTAATGTTTGTTTTGATTTTGTGCCTGGTTATTAGTCTGTTGTGATCTTGGTTAGCTATGTGTTAGTGTGATTTTATCAGAATAAAATTTATTAAGTAAGATTTCCTTTCTTCTAGTTTTCTATTAGGGTTCTCAGTTCTTTCTTGTTTCATGTTATTAATTTAGAAATTTTAATTAGTTCTAGGTCTGTTTCTGATTTGCTCGTTAATCCGGGCTAGTTTAAGTCTTGGTACTGATTTTGTGAGAGTCAATTGACTAGTAGTCCCATTATTTAGTTTGGATCCGGCCTTGAAATTGATTTTTTGGCTATAACTGTTTTAAAATTGCTTGACTGTGGTTCAAAGTAAGAGGGTTTAGTTAGCCAGTAATTCCAAGGGAATTTCAGGGGTAGCTTGGGTATAGAAAAGGGTAGTTTTATTAGGAATGGTAATTGTAAAGGTAAGGGAAGGGTAGTGTGGGAATTGTAATGGGTATAGGACCTTCTAGAACAAGACTTTAGTGTAGTTTTGGTGAAATAAGTGTTGTTACTTGGGTAATAAGTCTTAGAAATGAGGGACTAAGAAACTAAATAAGAAAGGGACTAAAAAGAAAACTAAAATCTGAAGTTAACCTTAGGTTTTGCCTATAAAAAGGCACATACACTGCCTTGTTCAACAAGTTAGAGGGGACCTCTGAAAATTTCAAAGAAAAATCTGAATCCTGAAGTTCAAGTTACTTTTAGATCTCATTTCTGCAAAAAATCAAAAGAAAACATACAAAAAAAAACGAAGCCCAGTAAAAGAAGACACTGCTATATTGTTTTAAGATTGGTCTTGTTTTCTAATCTAATTTTGCTCAAATTCGAGATCAAATCAGTATGTTCTAAGTTATTTCTAGTTGCTGAAGATCAGAAATCTCCTCCTAAGTTTAGTTTCAATTCGTCTTGGTTCAATCTAGTCTGCTACGTGGTTATTGGAGTCGTGTCCTTCATATCTCGATTCTGGTCTGTTTCTGTTATTGCTGGACTGCGTACGAGCTAGTGCTTGGCTATTAGCTGCTACTGCTTACTACCGCTGACTTCTTCCTCTTCCATTTTTGGTTCAAATTCCAGGTACATGCTCAAATTCGGCTTGATGTAACTATAAATGGAGATGAAATAAAGAGATGCTTGCACATTTGATTCCTATATTGTACTTACTTTGGTTGTTATGTAGTAATAGCTAAGTAGATATGAAAGTTTAAGATGATTTGATTCTAATTTGTGTACGAATGAACTTTGGACTGTATAACATGGACTGTTCCTAGACTATTTCGGACTGTCGTTAGATTACTTTGGGCTGTTTTGATAATAGATTCGAACTAATTTATGTAGGTTTAATATCTTGGATTAAGTGATAATACGTGATCATATCTTGTACAATAAACATTAGACCATTGCGAGATTTATGCTAGTTTAAATCCTTGGATATCCTCTAAAGTTTGTGTCCAGTTTGTAAAAAGCTAAATGTTCAATTTTACTCACTGTGTGAAGATCCAGAATATGTTCGAATTTGATGCTGGGCCCAATATAACATTTGGGTGGTGCAAGCTAGGCCCAGTTATACGAGAATCATCCTAGTATTTGTGGACTGGTATTTACCCATCTACCTATTGCGGGAGTCTCCTGCCAATTGGGCTCACACTGAGGCCCAGTTGCGCTATAACAGTTCATAGAACAAACTATTTATTTCTTATTCCTGGATTCCTTTTAAGGCCCAGTGAATGCTGGAAATCTCATGTTTCAAGGCCCAACAAATGCTTCAAGTTAAAAAATCCTTTTTCAAAGATATACATAGGAATACGGGGAATAATTTGCAAATAAAATTTAGGTTTCGAATTAGGTGGCGGGTTCGAATTAAGAGGGTTTCCCCTTTTGTTTGAATTCGGACTTGAATTCGAGACCCGAATTTATAAATGTGAATTAATTAGGCCCCTTTAAAGACGAAAATGAATAGAATATCTTAGTCTACTTTAGGTTAGCCATAAAATAATAAAACGAGATGAACCTCGCTAAATAAAATTGC